AATAATAATAATAATAATAATAATAATAATAATAATAATAATAATAATAATAATAATAATAATAATAATAATAATAATAATAATAATAATAATAAATATATATATAGAAGGGAAGAACGAATAAAATATTATAGGTATACTATCAAGAGTAATAGATAACTACTAGAAAGTATAATATTACTTAAGGTCTAACAAAAACTAAGAAAGGGGTATTATAATAAGATTATTCGTTAAGTCCCTTAACTTAATACTCCTCGAACTATAAAAAATACCCCCTTCTTTATACCTACCTAAGGTCTTCTAACTAAGTAGGTAGCGGGAGGCCACCTTAGGACTAGGTGTAGGTCTAAGCTAGTCTTCTAAGCTAGCTTCTAAGCTAACTAGCTTACTAGATCTCGACGCGTCGTATCTTTAACGGTCTAACCTAAACATAATCCCCCTAATTATATATAAGGCTAGTGCTAGTCCTATAGCAACGTATAAGCACTATATATTCTAATATATAGCCTCCGCTATTTCCTAAAGCTATATTACTAATAGCTCTCTTCCGTACTAAGTAAGTACAGTTTAAAGTAATTAACCGAAGACGATTACATTTTAAAAAAAAAGGTCCTAATTACTTTCTTCTACGTTAATAATATTATCCTAATCTACTATAAGGAATACAAATCTATAGCTAATAGCCTAGTAAAACAGATATAGAAGAGCTTCTAAATCAGGGATCTAGGACTAATTAAGTGGTTTCTTAGAATCCGTATAGGACACGATTATTAATAATATAGACTATAGTTCTCGCTTAATAACTATAGTACCGATAAGATAAAGGCATTATAGGTGGATTATAAAGGTTATAGAGTTAAAAGCCCTTTTCCTTATCCTAATATTCTAGAACCTGCCGACTAATAAGCCTCTGAAGAATTAATCTTTCTATATCTTTGGAAGGTCGGTTCTATTAACTACATCGTCTATTGGACCCGGCCTAATATCTCTAAAGCCGTTTCGAGGCTTACCCAATTTAGGACTTACCCTTTAAAATAGTATTATAACGCTATTGATAAGTGCCTAAAGTATCTCGGCCAAATAAAGACCCTCTGCCTTTACTTCGGACCATGTAAAGACCACTATAAGTCTATACTCTTCTATACCTCCGACACCGCCTTTATAGACGACTATAAGACTAGGTATAACTTATAAGGGTATACTACACTGCTATTCGGGGGTCCTATAAACTAAAAGGTAAATAAGTAAATAAGCGTTATAACCTCTAGTATAGAAGCCGCGCTTATAACGCTTTCTGCTACTATTAGGTAGTATATCACGATAAGGCGTTTAATAAAGGACTTAACCTTAACCTTTAAGGAGGAACTATTAATAGTATACTACGATAATTAATAAACTAAGTAGTTGCTAGAATCCCTTAGGCCGTAGGTTACCTTAAAATTAAAGTATCTTAATATCCACGCCTTATAGATCTAATAAACTATTTAAAAGGAGACTATCTCGATTTATTAGATCCCTACTAATAATATAGTTAGCGCTAGCCTTATAAAGGTACTCCTACTATAAAAACACAAGGAGTTTATATATCTACTTAGTATAAAGGTCCTGGCTAGATAGGATTAAAGGAATTAACAGGGATAACGCCCTTCTATTACGTTTTAATTAAAGGAAAACGGTTAATTAGACCGTTATTTTAAGTGTTTTTATGCCTTATAGACTATTATTTAGGCTACTGTTTTTAATACTTTTTAACTGCTTTTAGCTTTAACGCCTTTAACGCCGTTAATTTAAATCTAGGCCTATTTTACCCTAGATTTACGGCTTTAATTTAAGCAGAATAGTCAGGATCAATCCTGCATTTCTAGGGGGGGATATTAGATACCTATAGCCACCTTATCGGTGTATAACAAACCATACTATATTAGATATATAAAGTACCTCGATCCTATATATCCATAGTCATTTCCCCTGCTTTTCCCCTATAGTTAGACATCCCCATAAAGTATCACAAACTTCACTTAGATGAATACACACACAATTCCGCGTACCTTATTTGTGTTCTGACAACACGTCTAATATAGTATAGGTTGTGCCACCTCGATAAGGTGGCTGTGGGCATCTGACACCCCCAATCTAGCCATCTTGCTTGTTGCTTAGCATGTCCTGTGAATCTGGTCGGATGGACTGAGCTCAGGTTTCAGCGAGACCTGGTCGTCCCCTGTTCTCGGCTCATCCAAAACCATGTCCCCTTTCAAATCAGGCATGAAGCGATCGATGCGCTTCCATGTCTCATCCCAAACGAGCTTCTTATCTACACCCTCACCACGGGAAACCATGTACCCATTGCTCGCCATAAAGAGAATGACGTTCTTTAAGTTTTCTCTCACGGCGTCCTCCTGCGGTAACTTAGGTCAGTCGCAACTGTTCACAACACATCCTGGCATCATAGGTGATGGACATACCAGACTGTCGGCTTGACCGCTGTTCATCAATCTGTCCATGATTTCAATGATCTTTACCCAGAGATCCAGCATGCCATCCCAGGCCGAGAGGAGAACGAGGTACCGAAGGAATACTTTGCAGAGTAGTGACACCGCTTGCACGCGTATCTCACCCATTCCATCTCGATCAGAGGAGAAAACTTCGGGTTTCAGTAATTTATGGACCAATGGAAATAGGACCTCACTGAAGATGGCAGTCCACTCCCGATGATCACGGCATGTAACGCTGGGTGATAGAAGTGACCTTTGCAGTGAAGTGAAGGCCAGTAGTCGAACATCTCGGCAGGGATTAGTGCAATGCATCGCTAGAGCACTGAGAATTGGTAGCCAATACGCCGACCAAGCTGCCACAGGGGTTAGTCGCAGGTATACAACTTCAGGTCGATGGGTAATGCGACGTACCTTCACCGCTCTCCAAGTGCGATTGCTCCATCAACTCTGGAATTCGAGTCGTCATCTTATACATCGTTGCAACGCCTTGGACTCCCCGAGACATGGTTTCACTATCACTGCAAGTTAGCAACAAGCCGTGGGACATATGCTTAACACGAAACCTACTTAGCGCGTTGCAACTCTCCCTCATCGGATATGTGGTGTTTCTGTGCTTTTCTTCGCTCCGCGAGCATCGCATGACCAGCTGCTGAAGAAAACTCTCCAAGCAGAAGAATCGCAGCCTCGTAGTTGTTGGCCATGATAGTTGGCGGCACGCCGGTACAGGCACGCTCGAGAAGCTCGAAGACCACGGACGCAGCCTCATACCTGGATGCGAGAGCTCTCATAATGACCCAGAAATCCGGGGAGGTCATGATCTCGTGTCGCAAGGGCCCCGGATCATCAATGCATGCCTTCAAGCCTTGCACAACCAACATGGATGACTTCGACAAAGAGTCCTCCGAAAAGCTGGCTATGGAGTGCAGAAGTACGGGAACATTGATGTAATCATGAGCCTGCTAGTGGAAAATGTTAGTTTTTCAGGCGATCTTGGTAATGGTGCTTCGGAGATACACACGTAGCTTGCACGGAGAAGGCAAAAGAGGTAGTATGTCGCCCTTGAAACCGTAACGATGTGATGTTGATTCGCATCCCGTAGGATCACCTGGAGAGCCTCCACGACCTTGGCCCCAAAGGACCCGATAGTGTCATTATCTCGCAATGCGAGACTGGTGACGAATTCTAAAGCAAACAACAGGGTGGGATCGTAGTAGTTGTCATGCTCTCCGAGATCACGCTGCGGCGCCGAAGAGACGGCCTCTGGTTTAAGGGTTATCATTGTCGCGTTCTGCTCGCTTGGCAGGGTTGCGAGCAAGGCGTCAACCAATGGCCCAAGGTCTTCTGTCCCGATTTTGCTGTGAACCAAGATTATCAGCACCTGTGTGTGTGTGTTGCCATGACACTACCACCACTCACGCAATGTTCGCAAATACGACGCCCATGTCACAAGAGTTCACACAGTCGACCGTGCACAGCGTGCTCTCGAGCTCCTCGTCGGACGGTTCGGGGGGTTCATCAGCCGCGTAGCTCGATATATACGATGTGAATGCCGAGAAAAAACTCGTGTCGGCTGTTTTGGAGGCTCGGTCTATAACTTGCGACGGGGTCTGCAGCGGAATGGAAGTGATAACCGTGAGTGGTGACGCAGTTGAGAAGTAAGGGGGGATGAGAGAGTTGACGAAAAGGTTTAGCCATATACGAATAACCTGCATGCCTGTCAGTTGTCGTCGGAAAAAGGAATAATGAATAGGCGCGTACATATTGCCAGCCCTTTCGCAGCAGACCTTCACTTCCCGTGACGACCCTAAACAGTACGAGCAAGGCCAGTTGCGCCCTGAAGTCCCGGCCTAGCTTGACTGCTAGCTCGCTTACCATGACACTATTGTCACCTGCCTGTACTTCGGTATTCAGGCTGGTATTGGAAGCTGTCTCAGTGGCGATAGTCGTCATGTGGCTCAACGAATAGACGATCTGGTCCAGCGCCTCTGTATTGCCGTATTTGGTCGCGATCCTGGCGCACTCGTCGAAGCCCGTAACAACGCGGGCGAAGACAGCATCGTCAGTAGCTGACATGAACACATAGGACAAAGTCGACACGATGGGACGCCACGTGGTGGTGAACATATCGGCATCGTAGATGTTGGTGTTGCAGAGAAGAATGGGACCGGCTGATTCACTCTTCATCAAGAGTTCCCGCCAGGCATAATCAAAGGCATGCTTGTTGTCGTGCTCGTCCGGAAGAATGATTTCATTCGTTTTGATCGAGTTATATATCTTCTCAAGATACTCCGGTGAAAAATCTCCGCCGTCATTCACACCTCGCAGGTTTCTAGAAAAGTCCTCAAGTGACATTCTCTTGGAAGATTTGACGTTTGGATTATGCTGGTCCGTATTGAGCATGATGATGGCGTAAGTTAGGACGAAAGCCGCGTCCTTGTTGGCCACCTCGGCGGGCGCTGCCTTTGTGCAGTATCGATCAGCGAAAGATGTGACGATCCTTGCAATGAGCGGCGACTCGCCAGGGAGCCGGAAGGTCTCTAATAGAGACCTCAAAGCTTCATCGGCTCTCTTGTCGGTAAAATTGAAGGTATCCATGTATGCCTCAAGAACACTTTCGCTCCCCTTCTTCGACAAATACTCGCCGAGTTTCTTTTTGTTCACTCGAGACGTTCCTCTCAGAAACTTCGCCACCAGGACAGGATTTTGAATATCCTCAATGATGCCCTGAGCTTGGAGGTATTGTAAACCCTCCTTCGCGTTGTCGTTGAACTTCTCGGCTCCTTTGATGATTATCCGTTTTCTTCGCCGCTGCTCCCTTAAGTTGACTACGTCGGGGTAATTCTCGGGAACACGCTCCTGGTCGAGACGCTCAGCCATGAACTGAATATATCGGAGAAGGGCATCCAGACATAGTGGAGGGACACTCGTTGTGCTCCAAGTCGCGGAGTCAGGCAAAGCGTTCCTGGAAAGGAGCCCGATAAGATCTTCACAAAGATCTGCTCTGTCTGGATCGCAGTCATAGTTGACGAAAAGCTCCGTCATGAATGTTGGTATCCTTGACAAAACTCCAACGGTTTCCACCATTGCTTGACGCGCGTCCGGCTTCCTCGCGCCGCCTTCAAGACCAAGCTTTTGACGGTCTTTAACAGGCACAGGGGTTGAGCGACCACTATTTGCCTGCGAAGATGGCTTCCTTGCGAGTTTCGGGGCCTGGGGGATGCCAGCATAGAGGGCCGGTTCAATGGCTGGTTCTCGCGGTATCTCCACAGAGGAATGCAGACAGACAACGAGATAGGAGAGAAAAAGCTCCTGTTGCAGCTTGAGAACACTGCGGCACGTTGCCAAAAGCGTACCCGCAACAATCAGGGACTCGTGCAGAATGGCCATATTGTCAGAACGGACGAGTTGAAAAAGATAACAGCACAGCTGATCTTCGGCAATCAGAGCAAGAGTTGGATGTCGTGTAATCAGCGGGCCGGATACTTCCAAGGCAACATGGATGATGCGCAGAGCCATGACCCTCATTGTATCTGTGTGTTGGCGGTCGTCGGGGTTCAGAAAATTGACGAGGACCCTGAATAACTCCCGGACAGTTGGGAGTGAGTAGGGCCGAAGGTCAAGAGACTGAGCATCATCGTCCCCAATTCCCCCCTCAATTTCCATGCTGCTTTTGTCCGAGAAGTCAGCACGCGCCTCATCATTCTCGTGCCCTCTGGCGTCGGTGGTTTGCCGTGCTGTGGGCGCATCAACCTTGGCAGCGGAGTGCGAACCGCCAATTGACCCGGCCGGTCCCAGATTTATCATCACACTGCCGATACCTCCATTGGTATCGGAGACCAGGGCATCAGGGTTGGTCTCTCCCTCAACCTCTGCTAGGTGCTTCACATCTTCAAATATAATCTGACACATTCGCACCATAACGGCCTCGGCAGTGCGTCGTAGAACCGGGGAAAATCGTGGCTGGGAGCAGATAGCAAGGCCGCGGCCCATCATATCGCACACACTCTCGTCGCTCAGCATGTTCCCGCCGGGGCCCGACATCATATCCTCCATCAAATGCAAGATCATGAGAAGAACCACTTCGACTTGTCCAGGGTCGCTGGTGTCGAACTGGCACCGCGTAACGGCAGCCGTCAAGGCCTGCATGGCAAGATTAAATCGTGGAGATGACGGACACACAAACCCGTATGCTAGAAACTTTCGCAGAGCACTTAGGGTCAGGATAGTGACCGGCGCCGCTGTTCGTTTGCTCTGTAGCACTAAAAGAAACGGATTCAATAGGGACAGTGCATCAAACGCATGAATATCTAGGCCTGTTAGCTCGCCGTCTAGCAAGAGTACGGGGAATCTCGCACCTCGTATGGAAGCAAGTTCAAGTCGAAGTCTTCCGAAGCCCGCCATTAAAGGGTGGTCCTGGATGCTCTTGCCTCGTTTGCCTCGAAGACCCCATCTGTTCGTAGGACCAGGCTCAATAGTATCCTCGTTGTCCAGGGTAATGGACGTGTCCTGGCTGTGTGCTGCGAGACTAGGCCGCGCAATCGGGACCTGGCTGGGACTACCTCCCAGGATGGCGGAGACTGAAGAATGCGGCGAGTGTGCATGTTTCTGGATCGTAGTGGTGATCGAAATGCATTCCGATATGACGAGAGATACAGGGTCCACAGAAACGGATACGGGGCGGCGGCGAGCATGCATCTTTGCCGGGACAATGGATGAGTTTGCTATCGGGCGTGAGTCCGAAATCGAAAGCCCGGGAGCTGGTTCTCTTGTGTTGAATCTGCATGTACGTTTGTGTCGGCTTCGGGTGTCCGCGGCCAAAAGTGGGATGCGTGTAATAATGGGAGATTGTAAAGAGTACGAAACGTCAAGGAGCACCTCCGATAACCAAGATCAACCGTTGTCCTAAATGAACATATGTACGGAATTCTGCGAGAATGGACTGCGCCTCTCCCCTTCATGCTGCGCTATCCAAAACTCGACACGGGCATAGAGCGGAACGCAGCGGGAAAAGCGATCTCGCCTTCCTGATTACCTCCTGGTATAGAAAGTAGGACGTCAGCTTGTGTATCGCCTGGGTAATACAAGTTGGAGTGCCGACCTTCAAGCCACCGAGGCCTCTAAGGATGAAGCTGATTGGGTGCAAGTGTTGGTCGACGACTTGGTGCTAGTTGTCGAATACAGCGTCACCGTAAAGGGATAACATATGTCAGAACACAAATAAGGTACGCGGAATTATATATGTATTCATCTAAGTGAAGTTTGTGATACTTTACCCGTGCCACGCCCCACTTATATTGGTTCGTTGGAACTCACCAGCCTATAAGCTGGTGCTAGACAGTTATATCGCCAGGACAATTAAATCGCCACTTTTTAAAAGCTATTTATAATAACCGCGTTTTTATCTATAATAATAACCTATTTTAACCTTTTGTTAATATAGAATCTCGTGTCGTTATAGCTTTTGAACTTATAAAGTAATTCCCTAACGCTAAAGTTATAACGGTGGCGCGTTACTTCGAAATCCCCCTATATAAGCTCCGGTCGCGTCTTTAGGACCGCCCGGCTTAAACTAGCCGTAGATCACCTAATTCGAAGCTTTTAAAGCTAGAAGAAAAAGTCCTATAGCGTTATATCGACCGTCTTAATAGTATTAACCTTACAGTTCAACCCGAGTTTATGACTAATACTATAAACGCGGTTTTATAGGCGTGTTACGATAAAAAAGACTGTCCCGCCTTTACTATTAGTCGATAATAGGTTACGCGGTTTATCTAATAGTATAGCTACTTTAAAAGGAAGTAAAAGAAGATAGATACGAACCGTTAGACTACTAAGGATTCCGAACGGGTTTTTTAATACTTTAACTAATTACGGGAGGTTATATAGGAAAACAGAATCCTACCAGAATATATCTAGAATATAGATAAGACCGGCTTTTAGATTAAGATAAGTAAAGATTAGGTTATAGTTACTAAACGGAATAAATCCTATTATTTTAGGACCCTATAGAATAAGGAGTCTATAATAACAATTAAAGCTATCGTAGCGGCTAGCGTTATTATTCCTGTTTTCCTGATTTTAAGCGGTAAAATCTATATACGGTAATAGTATAAACTAGAAGAAATAGCTAATGGGATAATAACGGCTTTATCGCTAACTAGATACACTAACGACTAAGTTAGCTATACCTTATTTTACTATAAAGTCTCCCGCTAACTATATAATAGATTAGCCTAGATTAGCTAAAGTATTTTGATAAGTACTCTAAGAAGGTATCTATTAGCGAGAAGCGGCTATTAATTCTAGATAAGTATAGGTCCTACTATACGCATGAATTTATATAATATTATAACGATCACGATATTATCCCTTTTAGATTACCCCCTTACCTAACCTATATACTTTAACCGCTTAACGTTACTATTTTCTAGTCTCTAAAGTATTATTACGCTAAAGCCCTTAACCAGCTAATTCGCGATAAAGTCATTAATATCACGAAGCTCGAATTCCTTTTATTACTTAAGGGCGTATATAAGTAGGCGTTTAAGTAGTTAACAATTCTTTCGGCCTTTAGAAAAACAGGGATCTATCTATTTAACCCTTAGATTATCCTATAGTAGTTAGAAGAACGTAGACCTCCGATACCCACCCCGCCTCCTACCCCTTCTAATAGGTCCTTGCACCCGGTAACGCTAGTAAGCCTTTATTAGATATATTATTCTGCCCGTAGAATTAGGCGTAGTTTACGTAATAAGGCGGAATTAGATCTTACTACGTAGCGTAAAGTGATAACCTTTATTAAGGGGTCGTATCTTTAACGTCCGAACTAATCTAAGTAAAAAGGGACCTCGTGCGTATAAAGCTAGCTAAGGCTATTAGCCACTAACGCCGCGCTACTAGGAATATCTAGCTATAGCATAGAGGTATTTTAAGAGCAGAAGAGGCGTGTAGGGTAACTAAATAACGCGATAAGGATAAGGTTATAAAGGCAGAGCGTCGTGGAGACTACGCATTTAAAGAGATAAAGAGTATATAAAAAGGTAGGCAAAGACGCTATAAAGATAGCTAGGGCTTAGGTAAGGGCTAAGCAATTAGATAAGCTATATACTATATAGGGTATAGGTTACTAGGTTATATTATCGTAATAGTTATAAATAGCTTTAAAATCGTAAAAAAGTGTCGATTTAACTATCCTAGCGATACAACTGTCCAGCACTAGCTTATAGGCTAGTGAGTCCCAACGAACTAATATAAGTGGGGCGTAGCACGGGTATAGAGATATCTAACTATTAAGAAAAAGCAGGGGAAATAACTATGAATACATAGAATCGAGGTACTCCACACGTCTAATATAATATAGTTTATCACACCTTAATAAGGTGGTTATAGGTATCTAATACCCCCCCCCCATAGAATAGTAGGATTCATCCTAACTATTCTACTCGTTAAATTAATGCTTAAAATACAGGGTAAATCGGGCCTAGGTATTAATTAACGGCGTTATAGGCGTTAAAGCTAAAAAAACAGTTAAAAAGTATTAAAAATAGTACCTAAATAATAGTCTATAGGGGTATAAAAACACTTAAAATAACGGTCTAATTAACCGTTTTCCTTTAATTAAAACATAATAGAAGGATATCGTCCCTATTAATTACTTTAATCCTATTTCGGCGGAACCTCTTTACTAAGCAGATATATAAACTCCCTATAAATTTACGGTAAGAGTACGTTTATAAGGCTATCGCTAACTATATCGTTAGTAGGGATCTAATTAATTAAGATAGTCCCCTTTTAAACGGTTAATCGAATCTAAAAGGCGTGGATATTAAGATACTATAATTTTAAGGTAACCTACGGCTTAAGGGATTCTAGTAGTTACTTAGTTTATTAATTATCGTAGTATACTATTTGTGATTCCTCCTTAAAGGTTAATATTAGGTTCTTTATTAAACGTCTTATCACGATATACTAACTAGTAGTAGCAGAAAGTGCTATAAGCTCGGCTTTAGTACTAGAGATTATAACGCTTATTTACTTAATTGCCTTTTAGTCTATAAGACCCCTAAATAGGAGGGTTATATAACCCTGCGAGCTATACCTAGTCTTATGATTATCCGCGAAGGCGGTATCGGAGGTATAGAAGAGTGCGGGCTTTTAGTAGTCTTTACGTAGTCTAAAATAAAGGTATAGGGTTTTTATCGAGCCGAGATACTTTAGGCACTTATCGGCAGCTTCGTGATACTATTTTAAAAGGTTACTGCTAAATTCGGTAAGTCTTAAAGCGGCTTTGAAGATATTAGGCCGGGTCTAATAGGCGGCGTACTTAATAAAACCGACCTCCTGAAGATATAGATAGATTAATTCTTCGGAGACTTATTAGTCGGCAGGTTATAGAATATTAGGATAAAGAAAAGGGCTTTTAACTCCATAACCTCTATAATCTACCTATAATACCTTTATCTTATCGGTGATATAGTTATTAAGCGATAACTATAGCTTATATTATTAACGATCGCGTCCTACGTGGATTCTAAGGAACCACTTAATTAGTCATAAATACCTAATGTAAAAGCTTTTCTGTATCTATTTTACTAGGGTATTAGCTATAGATTTATATTCCGTATAGTAGATTAAGATAATATCGTTAACGTAAAAGAAAGTAATCAGGACCTCGTTTTTGAAGACATAATTATCTTCGGTTAATTACTTTAAACCGTACTTACCTAGTACGGAAAAGAACTATTAGTGCTATAGCTTTAGGGAACGGCGGAGGCTATATAACGCTCGGCGTAGTCTTTAAATCCCTCTACATTATATAGGAGGGCGTTACTTTAAAAGGTGCTCGAGTTAATTGTGGGCTTTAAGGCCCGTAGCCGTCTAGAGTAACTACTAACTAGGCGGGTCCTTAACATAGATCTCTTCGTTAAGCAGGGCATTAGTGAATATCTTACCGGGAAAATATAGGGGAAAGGTATAGTTGTATGCAGTTATGCTGACTGGCGAGGGTTGCTAAAAGATTTATCGTAACTATTAGATAAATAGTTACTAAATCAGTAACAGTTACTGGATAGGTCAATCGTTATGGAATTTTCTGCTGTTGCGCGGCTTAAAAGTGGGTTAATACGGTTAATATTGCTAGGTACGTACTCGTCACTTTTTAGAAGCACCTTAACGTCTATTAGCTAGTAAGTAGAAAAATATGATTAGTGGTAATTTCCTCTGCCTAGTACCTTAAGTTTAACCACCTTAACTAGGTAACCTAACTTTCGCTAACACCCGACTCAGGTTCTATAATAATTACTACCCTCCCTCTCTCTACCTAACTAAGTTCCCGTCGATAGTACTCTCCCACACCTCTAGTGATAGACTCTAAGTCTTCCTTCGTACCTAGGTACTAATCGTGATATATACGGCCTACCTTATTAATAACGACTTAAGCGTTCTAGGTTGTATTATTAGTTAGGTGGGTAGTTATACATCTAGAAGATAGACTAGGGTAAGTTACCACGGGCGATATAGACAGGTACCGAAGGTATAGATAATCTTTAATTATAATTAGTATTATTAACTAGCTATTTATTAGTCATAAATTAGAATCTAGAAGGTAGGGTAATAAGTAGACTAGAGTAGGTAACCTACCGTATACCGTATACTGAAGTCGAGGCTAAGGGATAGTAGAAGGCGGGCAGTTTTAGATCTAGAGATACTTATCTTAGTAAGTAAGGTAGACTTCTATTTATATAGATAAGGAATATAGGAGAAGAGGACTGTCTTACCTAGAGCTACTGGACTTGCTAGTTTACCTAAACTACTGTATCGCTATCGATACGCACGATATAAAGCTTAGTAGGTAAGATTAAATTAATGCCGATAATTAGGGGTTCGTAGTATTAGTACTCGACCTTTAGTAGACCTAAGATTTCTTTCTTATCGTCGAGGATAGTGATAGGGGTGATAAATATAAAGATCCGCTTTCTGTTATCCAAAACCTTAGTTAAATAAATAAAGATCTAGTTAATCCGGCTGATTTCATCGTCTTGATACTTAACGTGATTGCTATATGCGAAGATATATCACTGGAAGTTCCTACCGTAGTGGTATAGTCGATGGGTTAGTAAGGGATACTATAATAAGATATCAAGGGATATTATAAGATAT